AATTGATCCATATTAGGTCAATTTAATATCTTTAATACATATTAGGGTAATTGACATATTTATAGTAGTTAAAGAGGACTAATTATAGATTAATTAACTATGTTAATACTATGATTAATATATTTAATATTTATTTAATTAAAATTTAAATCATATTAGGTCAATTAAATATCTTTAATTCTTTTTAAAGTGTTGACATGTTTATAATGGTGAATAAGGAATAATTAAGAAGTAATTAATTATATTAATGGTAAAACTATTATATTTAATAATGCTTTATCATAATTTGACCTAGATCAATTTTATATATTTGATATGAAATAATTAAAAAGAAGAAAGAGCCGAAAAAGAATATTATAGGGCTACGAATAAATTGATTTATGATAAATATGAGGGTCACAATAATAATGTTGACCCAAATCTTATAGTTGATATTCATGCATTAATAAGCATTAGTGCATGTACCAGGAAGTAATGAGACACTACAACCTAACTCATGATGGGAGTATGGTAGTGATAGTGACTTTGTGCTATAGAAATTGTAGATGTCGACATTATTATTAGTGATAGTGAATTTGTGCTACAGAAATTGTAGATAGGCAACTGCTCCTACTCTTAAGTTGAGTTAGATTGGTAGCATAAGGTAGGATAGAATTCGTGATTTTATCTGAGAACTTAGTAGGATGTCAGCATTATATATTATTGATATTGATCCGTAAATCTATCAGTCACAAACAATAAAGTAAATATAGATTGATGATGCATATACAAAAGAAAAAAAAATGAAATATTGAGAAGGCAATAACTAAATAGTTCAACTTCTATAAGATTTCAACGAATATAGCCTAAAGTATATATTATTAGAGCGTGATATTATATATTTAAAAGGTTATCATATGGATCCAATTTCTAATACCAAAGGAGATCTATCATGTATATCTAGACGAGGAGATAGAAGAATTAAATTATTATATCAAATCCTTCAAGAAGTAATGAGATGAATTTAGGGTGACACTAATATGTGATAGTTGGATAAAGCCAACAAGATTGAGTCTCATCAATTTTATTGTATATTACAATAGACGGATATTTTTTTATAAGTTAATTAATTCTTTCAACAAGATTCAGGATGTAAGCTATATTGAAAACCTAATGGATATCATAATAGAGGAGATTAGATCATGGTATATTAACTAAATAATCATCGACAATCGAGCTAATTTTAAGAAGATCGATTTATAATTGATAGAGAAAAAAAAGTATTGTTTTGGACTGTATGCATAGCTCGAATCTAATGCTGAAAAATATTTGTAAGCTATCATTAATTAGCAAATGTATAGCTCAAGTATAATCGAAGTTTATATATAATCATCATTGGGTTCATTTTTTTTATGTAAAAGTATACAAATGGTGAGATACTACAATCCATAATCACTTGATTTACTATAAATTTCATTGCCTTAAAGTCAATATAGCAAAAGAGATAAGGTCTCAAGGCAATGGTCACCTTACAAGAATAGTCTGATTCCAAGTATTCAAGATCGAGCAATGGAAAAAAAGAGAAAAAAATTATTTTTCTAGATTTTGGGATACCAGGAATGAAATTATAATAGGAGTAGAACTACTCTACGTTGTCCTTTATAAGATTGATATAGACAAGCATTCCCAAATATCTCATATTAGACATATGTTGATTACAACAAAGAGAAGATTAAGAAAGCATCCACAAGTGAGGTCGAGCAATATTTATATGTCATTGATTGCGGGACCAAAGTTCATATAGACCAAGTCATCTATAATATAAGTAAATTCATATTCAGTATAATTTAATTCATAATTTTTAATATTTTTAAAAATTAGTAATGAAATTATTTATCTTATAGCATATTATTAAAATTCGATCATTTGATTTTGGTATAGTCTTAGAATGCAATCAGATTTATTAAAGACACTAAGAAATGTTATATATTGATTTTTACCATATATACTACTATTGCAACCGCCAATACTATTACGGAGGATCGATTATTTTGAAAAATAATCCGTTCATTCTCCAATAGCATAGTTGTATCATATTATTACAATATGGATCTTGATAAAAATAGTTACACACATTTATTATAAATTATATTTGACATTAACTATTAGTTATACTAATGATAATATATATATATTTTTACAATCGAGTGGTGACTATAACTATAATTTAGAGGGGACATACCAAATTTAAGATAGGTTGTTGTTCATATACTTTCATAAACAACGACACTGAGAAGTTATGAACATAACTAATCAATGTTTATATTGATTCACATAAAGGTAAGCAACAAGCTATTATATAGATAATTAGAGAAATTGATATTTGTCCACTATAGCATATGGCTAAAGTTGTGGTGTGCTGAGCTAGATAAGAAGCTAGAGGAACCAAAGAATGATTTTGTTAACCTTCAAACTATAACGAAAATTCATAATCAATGTTAGAGTAAGTCAAAGTAGCGAATAACCAAGATGTTCTATGTAATTGATGAGGTTAGAAATCCTCCATATCTTTAATATTTTATCACCAAGATAATAGAAGAAGAGGAAGCACATCAACGGGAGGAAGATCGCCCTATATCAAAACATGAAGGAAGGAGCCGGACAACATCCAATAAGATTACTCGAGAAACTAGAGACACTAAAAAATTATAGTTATCTACTCTACATACAAAGCTAAAGGTAAAAAGGAATGCAGTAGCATCAATTGCACCATTGAAAAGAATTGAATCGGGTAATAAGACACTTTCTCAATTGCATTCAGCAACTAGCTCGAGCCGGAGACATGACAGTAATGTGGACAACAATACCTTGACTAATGATGGTGGCAACACTGGGGAGTTAATGGTCCTGTCTACATAGTTTGAGAGTAGTGCATTGATCAAAGAGCAATATTTTATATATGTCACCCAATATTCAAAACTTAGAGCTTGACGATGTATTGGTTAAGTTTATACATAAAAGGAGAAAGAAAATACAATAAATGATTTTGAGCAGATGCAATAGAGCCTACACAACATAGACACAAAGTAGAACTCATCGTATTCATAATCATTATATTATGAAGAATCTTATAACCAACGGTAATATAGTGATAACTGGTCATTCTTCTCTAAGCAATGGTATAGTAATCGATCTTATAATACAAAGCAATGAATTAGTGATGAAAATAGAAGTTTCGATATTCTTTAACCTCCACTCCATAATTGTACTTACCTCATGAGCTACGTTGGTACACTAATGATATATGATGTATTGATATACTTTATCATGAGATTAATTTCAAGATGGAGTCTAATAAATATATCAAATTAATATACAAAAACATAGGATTGATGATCCCAATCCATCGCTCGTAGAGTCCCGTTATTCTTTTTTATAATAGAACTAGATATATCTATCGATTAATTACTTGGTTCATTTAAATCTTAAAGTTTAAATTATTTAATAAATAATCTAACAATTCAACTCAATTTTTTATAGATAATTTAATATCAATGGAAAGATGGTCCAAAATGTATCACAAAACTACTTTTTAAAGTAAAAAAAAGATTTGTACCACTATTATTTCCTAATTAATTTTTTACTAAATTATGCTAAATTTATATTTTTAATTAAAGAACCCTAATCTATTTTTTATTTTATTTTTAAAAAATTAAAGTTATTTTCGATCAATTTTTCATGTCGTTAGTACATCCCACACATGATACATCTATATGAGTGTATTGGTATGGATCAATAAAATGAACCTTGTATCATAATATAAGATTTATTTGATTTGACTAGTAATTATGTCAAGTGAGAAAAAATAATTATTATTATTTATATCGTAACTATTAAGATCGAACAAATTGTTTTCTCCATAAAGTTTTTTTTATTTTTTATTTAGTAAAAAATTCAAAGAGTGGTATGAAACCACGATTAAAAAAGATTTATTGTTTTATATCATTTGGAGATATTAAAAGATAACAAATGATAATTGAACTATAACCTTAATCTTATGATTTTTTATTAAATTTTTTATCAATACTTAATCAATATTAAATTTTTTATCAGCATATATATATATATATATATTGGAAATAAAGTAAAGAAAGAAGACATGTAGAGCAGACACATATTGAGCTGTTTGCCTTCCAAGCCCTAACATACATAAAAGTCCATATATTATGGTTTTACATTCTTTAATGCAACATATCAGATTCCTAACGTCTAAATCTAAGGCCAAAATTAAAGGAGTAGATAACATATCACCCATTTCTTGTGAATCTAATTTGGCAATGCATTCACCTTTTGGAATCATGCCATCTCATTTCACACCATATAGAACAGAAGGTATCATTATTTTCTTTATACAGTACATGAAGACCACAAAAAGGAATGAAGGAATATCAAACAACAATGGCAAGTGTCTTTCTACTAATAATTTGATAGTAATTGACAACTGAAAATTTATCTTCTGTTCCTACTTTAACAATTCTTCTAATAATATAACAATGTCAGTAATTAGCACTCCTCACATATTTCATCTTTGCAATCAATCTTATGAACAATAATTCTAATGAAGTATACTTATGTAGATAATGTCATTATCATTGGGCAATTATTAGATGTTAATTAAGAAAACATATCCAAGCTTTTGAAGTCCCAAGAAACCTTCCCTTAATTCATATTTTGTAGGGATTATGATACAGAAATATCATGCACAATCTAATCCTCTCAAACTGTTCCCACCAATAAATTATCACATCATCATTTTTTTAGGCACTCTCATCATCATCTATAAAGAAAAAAGAGTACATATTTTAATTATTTCCTCCTTTATTTTCCTTTGCTATTCTCTTCTCTTCCTCCCCTACAAAACTTTCACTTTTCTCTCTATACAACAGTGAGCCCTCCTCTTATCCTCTGCTTCCATGGAACTCAGTTTCGATGTGACAAGGAGTCACCTTTGAGGGAAGAAGAGGGAGGGAGGGAGGTAGGGGGGGAGAAAAAGGACCCTTTCTGGTAACTGAAGGTTTCACGTTTCCCTTTTCTACATCTCCTCTCTCTCTCTCTCTCGGTGAGCAATGAGTCCAAGCTATGACTCTGCTTCCTCCATCCTCCTTTGTGCTGAGGATGGTGACAGCGTCCTGGGCTTTGATGATGTGGAGGAGCAGCGTGGGCACAGGCCTAGTTGGGGTTCTGAACCAAAAAGGTTTGATTTTTACGGGGATCTCCCGGTGGATTCTACCCTGCAGTCGGATGAGCGCTTGGGTTGGTTGGTCGAGAGGGAACAGGGGCATCTGCCGAGGGAGGACTACGGCCAGAGGCTGCGTTCCGGGGCTTTGGACCTTTCCCTCAGGGGAGATGCCATCGATTGGATGTGGAAGGAGGGTTCTCTCGTCTCTTCTCCTCTCTTCTTCTTTGTTGTTCCTTGTCTCTTTAGTTGAACTCATTGAATAGTCTTTCGATTTAAGTTGATTTGCTCAAAACAAAGCAAAAAAGAGTAATTTGGATAATTATAAGACTGCAGCCATTGCTAACTACATTTCTTGCTACTTGATGTGCCCTCTTCTTCTTCTTCCTTTTTTTTCTTTTCTTTTTGGTGCTTTTTTTTTTAATTTTATGTTCAATTATAACTCTGTTATATTGGTATTCCTAATTAGACATTCCGATTTACCTTTATTTTGTGTCCATAGGTTTGTATGAATTAGTGGATCGGTAAGATAAGAAAAAAACTTGAATTTTGTCTGAGAACTGGTTGAAATGTGATTCCGAAGATCACACTGTTCTAATTTATTTGTCTTTCATGTCTTGTATCTAAACCATGAAAATGATTTCTTCTTTTCCTCCTCCTTGCTTCCAGATTTTTTCTTCTCAGTTGTAGACTGATGGCATTTGTGGTTTGTCTAACAGGTTCATGCCCATTACAATTTTGGACCATTAAGTGCTTATTTATCTGTCAATTACTTGGATCGGTTCCTCTCTGCCTATGAGTTTCCAGTAAGAGCACTCTCATCGTCTTTCTGTCAATCATTGCTCACATTGCTCATATGCCTTTCTGTCAATCCAACAATTCACCAACTAACTCCCATCATTTTGTTGTTTGTAATTGTAGCAAGGCAAGACTTGGATGACACAGCTGTTGGTTGTGGCCTGCCTAACTTTGGCTGCCAAGATGGAGGAAACTGAAGTCCTTCTGTCCCTGGATTTACAGGTGAGATGACACCAAGAACACAATTATCTCGATATAATCTTTGCAAAATATCTCTGTTGCTACCCTATCTGTATCTTGTTGGCTAGGTTGGTGAAACAAAATATGTGTTTGAAGATAGGACTATTCAGAGAATGGAGCTTCTGGTTCTGAACACCCTCAAATGGAGGATGCAAGCTGTGACACCTTTCTCGTACATAGATTTCTTCCTTCACAAGTTCAGTGGTGGCAATGCACCCACCAAGTTGTTGGTTTCTCGATCTACAGAACTCATCTTGGGCACAGTTAAAGGTAGATTTCTTTATGAAAGCGATAAACTTTAGAATCTGATTTATCATTAGCATTGGTAATCGAATCGAATGCCTAAGAATCAAGTGTAATTGGATGCAGGGATAGATTGCCTAGCATTCAGACCTTCAGTGATTGCTGCGGCTATTGCGCTGCTGGTTCTGAGAGATACCCAGGTTGTGGATGCTGAGAAGAGTCTGTCCTTTTGCACTCATGTACCAAAGGTAAAAACGATTCTATCATTATTACTATTGATATCTTTCTTGGACCAAAATCTTCTTGCATGGGTGCTACTAGTTTTTCAATTTGAAGATTATCACCAGATGTTTAATGCTTTTGAGTCTCATCTCCGAGAAGATGTTTGATGGGCTTCAAATTTCAATCATCAATACTTTGGTTGTTGCAGGAGAGGGTGTCGGCATGCTTTGAAGTGATTCAAGACAAGGTGTTCATGTGGAAGCAGTCACTTAAAGATGGTAGTAGCTCATCAGTGTCCTCTGTGCCGCAAAGCCCAGTAGGGGTGTTGGATGCTGCTTGCTTGACCTATCACAGTGATGATGCAACTGTTGTGTCACATGCAACATGTCTCCATACTTCTCCAGCTAGCAAGAGGAGGAAAGTAAGCAGATGATCAATGTCACCAAGTAGCTGTGAATGTGTGTACTCCTTGCTCTCTTGGCAGGCTTTGCTACTTTCAAACAAGTATTTTGGTTTATTCAGGGAGAATTTTGGTGTACTGAGGAGTTCTTCCACCCAAAAAAAAATTAAGAAAAAAAGGAACAGATACAAGCAAGTGAGCAAAGTGTCATCCACCATCTTTTAGATTAAGAAAAATTAAAGAGAAATGGAAGGAGATGGTGAATCTATTTAGGAGGAAGGTGCTGCTAGGCATTGGTTATTCTTCTCAAAGTGAAGAAATCAGGAAATAAACTTCTTTCAGGATCAGAATTTTAGCATTCAAAAAAAACAAAAACAAAAAAAAGGAACAGAAATTGAGAAAAACATAGAAGTGGATTTGTTCAAAAAGTTTTGTTGTATTTCTAATGCCTGCCATCCTACTATTTGGTCGATTGGTTGTCTGCTTTGACTCTGGAATTTGCTCATCCTCCCATGGCACAAGAGAAGAGCCCCTGTCAGTAGAAGTATTGGGAAGGCAACATACAAAATCTTCAAGGAGCAGAGAATCCAATATTAATTAGATGTGTGTAGGACTGCTGGTAGACTTGGAAGTTTCAGTGGCTGATGTAAAGATCATAGCTGTATTTGCAGAGGAGAATTACTCCCTGCAGCTTTGTTTGCTTCTTTTGGGATCTCCCTTTGTGAAAATGTGTCTATTTAGTCCTAATCAAACACATCATGAGATCCAATCTGGCAAAGGCCATTAAATTGTGCATATGGTGTTGCAAGGCATTTTGGACTTCATATGTACATACATGTGGATGTATATGTATAATTTTCCTCATCCAAAGTTCAGATTAATAGAGAACAGTTGCACAGGATAAGCACTAAGTGAGATCCACTTCACCTAAAGGTTATCACATCTGCACTTATTTGTGACAAATAGAGGCAATCAGACTCTGTTATTTTGATTCATCTATACTGAATGCATCATGAATAAAAGGGATTCTTGACAAACATATAACTTGCAGAGTTTAAAATAATATATTTTATCATTGTAAATTATGTATATATATATATATATATATATATATATATATATATATATATATATATATATATATATATATATATATATATATATATATATATATATATATA